CAGCAACCAAGGATGTTTGTTTATTTTCTCTGTTCTTATCACAACACTTTTGTTTCTTCCATTTCAAGTTTATCTACACTCCTTCCCTGAAACCCCAGGTTAGTAATGGGAACCCTCACTCTGCTCGGCTGTGATGATCAAGTTTGCTAGCTTCATTTCACAGAAGAATACATGCCATCGGTTTCTGTTAGGAAAATTTTCACCCGAATTTGAAAGTTTTCTGCTGTTATTTTTAATAAGCAGTTAATTAAGCCATATTAGCGATTCACTTACTACTTTGATCATTTGTTGTTATTCCTTTTAATATTATTGTGGAGCATTTTTACATTCATTTTTACTTATGGATAAATCTCATACTGGGCCAATTCTAATCATGTATTCTATTGATGGCGGATAGATAAGAAATTTTTTTACAATAGCCTACATGAGTGAAATGGGCCCTATTTCTGAATGCTAACTATTGCCATTTCAGATAATTCAATACAAGGTTTAGGTTAGGTGTTTTTTTTTTTTTTTTGCTATTAATTAGGAAGATTACCATTTTCAATGTTCTGTAATTATATAGGAGAAATTGGAATTTATATTTGTTTATAATTTAATACAGGTCTTATAAAACCTCATTTCATTTCATCCTTTCTACTGATAAATCTTGAACAACTTGTAAATTTCTCTAAGAGTTGTTATTTACTTTAACTGTTTTTACTAAGTTGATACGTCATATTTTAGCTACCATTTTCTTACAATTTTCCAAATATATTCAGTGAAAAATTTCATAAATTATAAAATTTTGATACTTTTTTTTTTTTGGTTTTTCGAGACAGGGTTTCTCCATGTAGTTTTGGTGCTTGTCCTGGATCTCACTCTGTAGACCAGGCTGGCCTCGAACTCACAGAGGTCTGCCGGAGTCTGCCTCCCAAGTGCTGGGATTAAAGGCGTGTGCCAATGCCACCCAGCTAGATACATTCTTAAGGGTAATTATATCTTCTGCCTGGTTTAGTGGCTGTGTTTATTGTCATTTCTTTCTTTCTTTCATTATTCTCTTTTACTGCCAGTTTTTGTTTTTAATTATGAATATTAACTTTGCCTTTGATTATACTTCTGAACAGATTTTATTTCTAGTAGTTGTCCTTTTTTACTTTTTCTCTTGTCCTTAATTATTCTTAGTTTTGGAGGTTGAATTGTTGACTTGTACAGTTGCATTACTTTTATTTAGTAATAAGATGAATTTAAAATCTTAACCTCATACCATGGCAACTTGAACCACTTCTCATAGGGTGAGCTGTCCTGTAGCCGGATGGTTTCTCCGGTCCCGCCAGGCCCCTGCAGTCCCGTGGCCCGCTTATAAAATAATCAATCAGGAGCTTACATTAATTATAACTGCTTGGCCATTAGCTCAGGCTTATTACTGACTAGCTCTTACACTTAAGTTAACACATAATTCTTATCTATGATTAGCCACGTGGCTTGGTATCTTTTCTCAGTTCTGCCTTGACATCTTGCTTCCTCTGTGTTTGGCTGGTGACTCCTGACTCAGCCCTTCCTCTTCCCAGAATTCTCCTTGTCTACTCGCCTTGCCTATACTTCCTGTCTGGCTACTGGCCAATCAGCATTTTACTTATCAACCAATCAGAGCAACACATATTCACAGCATACCAAAAGACATCCCACAGCATTCTCCTGTTCCTGTGAGAATCTCTCCATTATTTGTTGTTAGTCCTGGGAACTGTGATTGTATGTTTGGCTCCCACAGTCTACATTGTTTTAAAATTCTCTACAAAGATTTTAGAGTCACTCATAATAAACTTTATCAAATTAATTATAGTAAATATCTAAATTAGCAAGGTCCATGTTCAGTTACATTCATTATAGTCTGTGTTTTCCAGCCCTTAAACATGACTTCATGGTCAGTTTTTATGCAGAAACCTACAATTTCTCTGTAGTTAGTTAGCCAAATAGAATAAATTTAATTATAGAGATGTATTTTAAATATAGTGAGTAGTATCTTAGCTGATACTTCTTCTCCTCCTCCTCTTCCTCCTCCTTCTTTTTCTTTTATTTTTCTTTACTTTTGTTTTCAAGACAGGGTTTCTCTGTGTAATCCCCCTGGCTGTCCTGAAACTCACTCTGTAGACCAGGTTGGCCCTGAACTCACAGTGATCCATCTGATTATACCTCTTGAGAGCTGGGATTAAAACATGTACCACCATCGCCCAGAAGGACTTATCTTTTAAGACAGTGGTTCTCAACATTTCTAACGCTTTGACCCTTTAACACAGTTCTTCATGTTGCATTGACCCCAACCATAAAATTATTTTTATTGCTACTTCATAACTGTAATTTTACTATTGTTATGAAATATCATGTAAATATGTGTTTTTCTATGGTCTTAGGCAACCCCAGCAAAAGGATTGTTTGATCCTCAAATGGTTTGGACCCACAGGTTGAGAACAACTATTCTAAGAAGTTGGAGTCTGAGATTTGGCCTTTGAAACTGAAGCTGTAACATTACGATTAGTTACATTGTAAGCTTAGCCAAATTGTTTAACTTCTCTATATTTAGTAACTCATAAACTGGGCATAATCAGAACCTTCCAGTTAGGTTTGCTAAGAGGATCTATTGGGTTAATATTCAGAAGCACTTAAAAAAAAGTGCCTGACACATTGTAATCACCTCATAAGTAGATAATTATTTCAAAGCCTTTTCAGTATTAATTAGACTCTGGAAGAATATCTGGTCTTTGAATAGGAGTCTGAAGATTCTGTTTGTGTTTGGGCAGCAAAAGTATAAGCCGATAAGCTCTGTACAGTAATTGCCATCTTATTATTTTTATTACCTATCCCAACCTGCTCCTGCTCCAGTTGACACTTGCAAAGCCAGGCTTTCTATAATCCACACTCATTTGGCAACGTTTCTCACCACTGTCAGGCTTGATAATTCATGGGACAGTTTTAATTGACAGGGTTTTAGTCAGTATGAACTAGAGACAGCCTGTTCTGCAGGGTTGGTTTATTTTTGTTGAAAGAAGCTGGGTGTCTGACAATTATGTTTACCAGTGAATTTATTTCTCTGGTATACTCCTTACATTCTTAGGAGTAAGAAAATAGCTCCCATATCCTCACAGTTTCTACATTCCCACAGGAGAACGGAAATTTTGTCTACAACATTAGACTTATTTGTTAAACATAAAAGAACATAAATCCTCCCAGGGTCCCAGGAGTATGGCAGAGATGGGGAGTGATCATTACCAGCCACATTGCCCTGTGTGTGCTGCATCATGTTGCCCGGGGAATGTGATGTTTGATTGGCTCATAAAATAGGCTTAGTAAATCCTTTAAATAATGGTATGGGCAATTGTTCACCTTGAAAATTAATACCTGGGAGTGTATTGTAAGGATTACCGTGTCTCCAGTATGGTCAACTGAGCAGGTAGGAATGGCTTGTTTTAAATTTCCCATTCCTTTCACTATGCCCTATGTCTTAGTTAGAGTTTCTATCGCTACGATGAAACACCATGACCAAAAAGCAAGTTGGGGAGAAAAGGGTTTATTAGGATTATATTTCAGCATTGCTGTTCATCACTGAAGGAAGTCAGGAAAGGAACTCAAACAGGACAAGATCCTGGAAGCAAGAACTAACACAGCGGCTATGGAGGGGCGCTGCTTACTGACTTTCTTCCCATGGCTTGCTCCACCCACCTTCTTATAGAACCCAGGACCAACAGTCCAGCACCTAGATCTCATGGAGGCATTTCCTAGACTGAGTTTCCTTCCTCTGATGACTCTAACTTGTATCAAGTTGACACACAAGACCAGACACTACAACCAACACGTATGGTTTTTCTCATTTGTTTCCCCCTTTTCTTCATGATGTTTTGACCTGTATTAGTAAACATTAAACAAACAGCTTCTCATATGAATTCCATATTCTTTTGAAGGCATCTGGTCAGGGAAAACAAAGTAAGAAACATAACACTATGTAAATCATTAGGGAAAATAACTGGCTTTAAATATATTATGCTTTTCCATTTACAAATATCTTAGTGCCTAAGATTATGTGAGAAAAATGAAGCTAAAGGATGTTGTTACATTACTTAAGGGGAAGATTCATAACTATAGTTGGCCCATATGTTGTCTTTTTATTAATACTTTTTTCTTTAAATCTAATACTATATAAAATGTTGGGTTTGATTCTGTATAGTGTATTTATACTACATTGTATTTTAAAATCTGTCAATCATTTTTCAAGCATGTCACACTTCTCTCTCATTAAAGGTTTTGTAACTTTCTCTTTATTATCTTATATTCAATCTAGAGAAGCCATCATTTATTTATATGTGCAATTGTTTTAAAAAATGGTCTCTGTGTTAGGTGAAGCTTGGAATGTATTACTCAGTATTTAAGCATTTTCTTAGCAAGTGTTAGACCCAATGTCCAGAAGTAAAAGAGAAAGCTGGAATAATAGCAAAGTGATTTTATAAGAAAATAATGTGTGCTACTACCTAAATGCATATTATCAACTACCCTAAAAATATAAATAAGTTTTCGGTATTTTGCTTCTACTTGGTAAGTATTAGTAGATTTCTCAGTATTTGTTTGGTACTATGCTTTTCTAAATTAGTAACTGTTGGCAAAGTTCTAAGTAAAATACATCTTCCCTAACTAGGAAAATTGAACAATGATGATGGGAATTAAGATAGGCACTAGAATTGAATTATTCATAGATTGAATGTCATGTAATTTTGTTCTATGCAAAATATTTAAATTTTAAGTGTCTGATCAATCTTGAGTTTGATAATAGCAAATCTGAAGGCTTTGAAAAATGTTTCATATTTTTCCAACTGGTCTTCACTTCTTGTTCTCTTTGACTTTTGCATCTAATGAGCTCTCATTCAGGCCTACTTGGAAACAACACACTGATCTACTCCATAGATGTTTTGCACATATAAAATTTCCATTGCCTAGATAAGCAATGATGTCTCTGCCCCTTTGCCTCCTCACAGGTATGATTTTGTAGAAGTTGAGGAGCCCAGTGATGGAAGTATTTTAGGATGCTGGTGTGGTTCTGGGACTGTGCCAGGAAAGCAGACTTCTAAAGGAAATCAAATCAGGATAAGATTCGTATCTGATGAGTATTTTCCATCTGAACCTGGATTCTGCATCCACTACAGTATTGTCATGCCAGTAAGTACCACTTTGAGATTATCCTTACTTAAATAAGTCAGCTATTTTTAACTTGAATTCCTCATTTTAAAATGAGAATCAGAACACGAAACATCCAAAACCATTCTCTAGCTTGGATTCTTTTTTTTTTTTTTTTTTTTTTTTTTTTAACCGCAGAGGTCTCACTATAATTGTTATAATCAACTTAAGCATTTTCTCTGTAGATGCTTAGAAATGCTAAGTGCCTTAAATATGTAGTAAAATGAAATATGTGAATTTTTTATAGTTATAGGAAGATAGCAAACTAGGGAGATGGCTCAATTGGTAAAATGTTTACCATGAACAAATGAAGCTCAGATTTCAATCCCTAGAACTCACTTTAAAAAGCCAAGCATGGCAGCTTAGAATTCTGCTCTGGGGACGCAGAGAAAGACATGTGCCTGGGACTCTCTGGCCACCAGTCTAGCCTAGGTGGTGAGCTCCTGCCCAGTCAGAGATCCTGCCTCAAAAACTCAAGATCCTGAGATCTCACTTTAATTCATTACTTGAAACTTGCAAGTAATGTGTCCACACTGCACCCGAGGGACTAGGTCATGTTTGTGTCAGTATTTCCAACATGAAAATCATATTCAATGCATGTTTAAATGATATTGAGTGTGATGAGCTATGCATGAAGATTTTGTATTCTGTCTTCAGTTCCTCTAGCATCTCTCAACAAGGATGCCCTACTCTGGCCACTAAACTGCCCTGAACTGGGCTGTAGGAGATGGAACTGTATGAGTAGATGAAGATGTTATAATTACTCTGATCGTCTTTAGGGAAACAGCAGGCTATGGGCTGAAAGAAACAAGAGAATATGACAGTCAGATCCTACATTTCCTAAGAAGTGAAATCGGATGATGTTAGAAAATTGCTATTTTTTTTCTTCCACTTCCACAAACTTTGGCATATTTGTGTTCACATTTACTTTGGTAGCTGACCTGCCACTCTTTACCCTACCATTTTGGCTTCATATACCCCTCACTGCTTTCTTAGAAACACATCCATTCCATTTTCAGTAACTGTGTGCCGAAAAGTGGGATTTGGTGAGTGACAATGTGACAGGTGATTATGCTTTTAAGCCTGGCAGAATGTTTTGAATTATCACTGTGTGTTGCTAAATGTCACCCTCCCTCCCCTCACCCACACCTGCGCTAACCCTGGCCAGGCAAGATTCATCAGTCTGAGCAGTGAATCAGATAAATGAAAGCCTGAAGGAAGAAAGCATACTTCTTGGAGAGCCGACTTAAAGGATCTTGTGGTATTTGCTCAGGGGCAATTGTCCCTGCATTATCCCTCATTCATTTCTTTCCTTCTGTCATGGATGAACTTGTTAATTGACATCCCCACTTCCCTACAAGTGATGACCAGACTGACTGCAGAGTCCTAGCTGCAAAGCAGGACCTGCTGTACTGCTGACCACAATGACTTCCTAGTTTGGTAATGATACAAATAGCATGAACCACAGGCCTCGGTAGACCATTAGCTTTCTGTACTAAGGTTTGCTGCACAGGCCTAGCTTAATACCAGTCCCACAGCATTAAGCTTTTCTGGAAATTCGGCCATTTTCCCACAGACTTGTCTAAGACCCAAGTGGGATATCCTAATGTCTCTGGTGTTGTGTGTTACCTTTGTTGTCACTAAGGACAGAGGAAACACGTTAGAGAACCCCAGTTACAACAATGATGCCATGTATTCTCCAGATGCTCATGTGTTAGTATGTGGTATTAGGGATACAGCTGGACTGTGGTGTAATCGTTGTCTGGGTTCCCTTGTTCTGGTAAGGGGAGGCCTGAGTTGGGTGGCAGTTAATGATGTATCCACTACAGTCAATGAACTTAGGACACACTATCCATTTTAAACCATTTTATTATTTATAAAAACGTCCATATAATCAGCCTTCTCTGCTTTTGGTTATCTAAATTGAATATGTGATTGATATAACTTGATATGAATATTTTACATCAACCTGACACAGAAAACATAAGTCAGTGAATGATTTTTAAATCTCCAACTACAGGGGAAAAATGTATGTTAAAGTGAGTTATATTTTAAAAGTAAGGAGCTTGCTCTGTAGTTTTATTTGTGAAAAGGAATGGACATCAGATTCTGGTCTGCCATGAACTCTCTGTGGTTCAAACTACCATGTCATAGAAGAAAAGTATACAAAGATCTATTTTTGTTACAAGCATTTTTTTTTTTTTTGGTCACGCATGCCCATTAAGTAATTGTGTCTACTGTTGTAAAATGATTTACCCTACAGTTAAGCAAGGAGTTCTGGATTATTTTGAATAACACAAGTTGAATGAATGTTTCATGATTTATAAATACAGTTTTCTTTATATTGCTGAAATGTTGGAACAGATTTTTTGGATTACCAAGTAACTTGGTATAAGACCAATTAAATGTGTCTCCCTATTTTTCTATGTTATATTGGTGTCATTAGCTAGGCCTAGTTTTAAAACTACCACTGTGAGATGTTGACGTAATGTCATAATGAGTTATAGCTTAAAAAATACTACATTGGTTTAAAATTTTAACATCTTAATGCTATTTCAAATAAAATATTATGGAAATATAATTCCCTAGTCATGTATCATTGATAAATAATGAAAGATAAATCTGTGTAAATTTTATAGTAAATGATATATTAAGTTTTATGATTGTTCACAAGAAGTTAATAATGTCATTGGTATTTTTCCCCTTTATGATGAGAGGGGAGAGAGAGAAAGAGAAAAAGAGTGGATGGTAGAGTGCTCATACACACAGCCTGGTAGATTAGTAGTGAGAGATTGTTTAAGAAAAATGAAAACATTGGGACCTTGTTTCCCTTCGAAGCCCACACACAGTGAAAGCCTGAACATAAGTCAAATCTCTTAGAAAGAAAAGTTCTTGTTTAATGTTGGAGTAATGTGTATTAGGTTATACATGCCATGCTCTGCAGTATGGCACCAACACCATTATTTAAAATGGTAAAAAAAAAAAGACTAAACAGAATAACTTTTCATCCAGTATCAAGTATCTGATTAAAAGTTTTATTTCTCATTTTTGCTAGGAAACTCTTTCAAAAAAAACATATCTGAGTTTTTAAGTAAAAATGTATGCATCTTTTCAGGGGTTTTCCTTTTCTTAATATGTAAAACAATTTTTCTTGAGTATAATGCTGCATATAAAATGCTATTTTTAATGTTTACAAAATGTGAGGGCTTTAGTTTTTCTCCTTCCAATAGGGTGAAATTTTTGATTAATTATTGCAATAATAGTATATTTTCTTAAATCTCACTTTTAACAGTTTTGAGGTTACTAAGATGTAAAAAGATAATACTTCTAGCAATTTATTTACTCTGTTTTACCATTTGATGGGCGTTGGTCTATATTGAGAGAACTAGATCTTGCAGCTACCATAGTATTTGACTCCCATGTATCACCATCATTTTATTTATTGCTGGGGCATGTGGATGGCAGTTAGGGAAATAATGAATGGGGCACATCACTCACATCCACTCCAGACCATCGACCTTTAAGATTCTACCAAATTTGTCCTATTTTTTTTAAATGTTTTACCTCTTTCCAAGTATGCATATTCAATGACACCTGCTTGGCTATGGAAGTTTTTATTATTTTTTGTTAGTAGAATTATGTAAAAAAGAAAATAAACTAATGCAACTTACAATAAATAAATAAAAAAAATCAAAGCCCTGCAGTGCTGTATGGGGGAGTGCAGCCCTGGTTCTGCGAAGTAACTGCATCAGAACCCGGTTGTATTTCTTCACATCAAGTTTGTAAATGACTTGTCCTGAGTTAAATCAGTGTGCAGCCATTGTGGTGGTTTCTTCTGTGGGGAGGGGTTAGAAGGACACTTGGTGCCTGAGGTGCCATTGAGGAATGCATGACTGATTGCCAGGACAGTTATTAATTATGCAGACAGAGAACAAAGCAGTTCAGTGGCTACTGGAGTTGGGGAGAGGAAGGAGGGAGGCTGTTGTCCCTTCCTTCTGGCTGTGCTAGGAGACATTTCACGTCTATGCTCTGAAGAAAGACATCTCCAGTCTGACGACAAAATTCATTGTTTTGATCAGGTGAAAAAATATTCCAATTGACTCTTTAAGGAAGACTTCAAATTCAGTTTTCACTGTTTTTACTTAGAATAAAAGCAACAAACTCCTTGGAGTGGTACCTACACACAGGTACTGTGGGGGCAGTCCTCAGTGGCAGAATATGTCAATATTCTCCAAAATGTTAAACTTAACAGTTCATTGCCTCACACTCCCACATTGCCCTATTAAACTAGAACTTGCTTTCAAAACAAATTCTTATTTACATAGACAAAGAACAAATAAACTGATGATGGTCTTAAGGGTTTTAGTAGGTTTGAATACTTTTAAGGGCATTGCAAGCAGCAGATATCTCCAATCCATAGAAGCATCTGTCAAATGACTAGATTCTTTGAAAATACACAAGATTTTTATGTATTTAGGAAAGGAATCACGAGAGGTCACTGAATCAAGAATATTTCACAATTGCTGCAGAGACTGAACTTAACTAAAAATGGTTTACTCCATCATCAGACTGACTTCCACCCAAGGGCAATGTTCTTCACAAGACATAATCACACCTTTCTGGTTTCTACTGACTCTTTTGTTGTGGGTATTTTCATGCCTTCCAAGAAGGGGCTTTACATGCACTGTTTAGAGAAAATAGCCAGAACTTCTGCAACATATGCAGAAGGCAGGTAAATATTTGAATGGAGTTGTAAGTAAAAGACATGAACAATTGGAAGTTTGAGTTTCAAAAATCAATATTATATACCTAAGACCACAAAGATTGGAAAAATTGGAGTTAGTTCAGGAGTCAGACCTTGTAGAAGGTTTTGTTCTCCGAAGATTAATGTGAGTGAAATTATAAATTGAGTGGTTTGCATTGAAGTCCCACTGTGTTTTCATTTGGATTTTTTCTGTGTATATCTTGCAGGCACACACACA